AGAATGTGCCTTGGGAGAGTCCCCAGGACACCCTCCCCTGGGTAGCTTAGACTGGTCTTGGGAGAGCTGTGCAGGCAGCTGTTCTTACAGCACTGATGGGCTGATGAGGGTCCCAGCACAGAGAGAAGCAAAGCATTGCTGAGCATCCTGGAGACCAGGAAAGGCTCCCTGGGGACAGCATTCCATCTGCTGCTGCTCCTGGGGGGTGAGGGTGAGGGCAGTGTGTGAGGGCTACTAGCACATCTTTCTGGAAGGCAAGGACAAAGTTTATATGGCGTTCAGGTCTTCCTGGCCATTGCCTAAGGCTTTTTTTTTTTTTTTTAACTTTTTATTGGTACCGGGGATTGAACTCATGACTGCCTGCTTGCAAGGCAGGTGCTTATGCCACTGAGCTACATCCCCAGCCCCAAGGCTTTTTTCTTTTAAAATGCCATTTTCTTAGTTACTTATCCCCTCAAAAACTCTTGGTTGGCTTCATCTGGGGATCAGACACTGTACTGCACTCTGATTCAGGAGGCAGGGCACTTGCAAACCCATAGCTGATTTGTAAACTATTTTGTTGTTGTTCTTTCAGTAAATGAGTATCTGTAAAATCACATTAAAGTATTATTTTTTTACACTGTTTAATTTTTTTAAAATACTGTTGGGGAGGTGTATGAAATAGCAGCTGCAAAGAGCCAGGGTCTTTCTCCTCCTGGGACATTCATGCTAAGTCAAGTATGGGGCAACGGTAAAGGGCTGACTGGAGGCTGGTGTGCTGCTGCCCCCTGGTGGCAGGAAGGGATTTAGAGCCGCGCTGCCAAGCTGAGAGGCCAAGCCATCTTACGGAGGACTGACCATTGGCTCCATGTAGCAAATGCTAACCCCCCGGGACTGAGGTCTCTTCAGGTCCTTCCAAGGCACAAACTCAGGGTCAGCACTCTACCAAGTGCTGTACACTGATGAGCAAATAACCCCTCATCAGTGAGAGGCTACGGCCCCTCTCTGAGTGCTGCTATCATTTGTGAAATGGGAGGGCTGGGAAAGAACGGTGGTTTCAATTCATAGGAATCTGGGAAACTCTTCTTCAGGGACAGCTCTGCTTTACCAAAGTGCACGGCATGACCTAGATGTCTTTAGGGCAGTTTGAAAGCCAAGAGCATAGGTGCTATGAAGTGTTTTTGAGCTCTGAAAGGCATTGACTTGTAGACTTTCATGGAAGGTGACATTGAACTGTTCACAAATTCTTGACCTGCAGGGGGGCAAAACTGGACTTCGTCTGCCCCCAGGCTTCTTCCTAACTCAGAGATTACTGGGAAGCTCTTCCAGCCACTGCCTAGCAGCCTTGCCTGCTAACAGATCTTGTTAGAATCCACACTTTTCAGACTGTGAAAAGGATTTTCTATACCTCAATATCTTCAAAAAGCTGTAGAGAAGGAAAATCCGTGGTTTACGTATATGAGGGGCAAATTCAATTCTATTTGGAGAGGCAGGGATAAAGACAAGCTTGCGTATGTGTGTGATCAAAAAGTATAGTGAATGTTGAATTTTTTTTTAAACAGTAGTAAAACATCATCTTTAACCCCCCTCAAAATACTTCCTTTTATTTCATTCAAGTGCACATATCCCATCATTACTTGCTGTTTTCTGAAGCAGTTCTGGAAGTCCTGTTTGTTTTTTGACTTTTTGAGTCAGGGCCTCTCTATGCAATTCAGGCAGGCCTTGAGCTCACTGTGTAGCCTAGGCTGGTCTCGAACTTGCAATGATCCTCCTGTCTCAGCCTCCCGAATGCTGGGATTACAGGTGTAAACCATTATGCACAGCAAGAAGTCCTGTTTAATGTTTTCAGCTGCAATGTGGTCAACTGATTCAAAATGTTTACCTTTCAGAGTCAGCTTGACTTTGGGGAAGAGCCAGAAGTCACATAATGCTAGAGCTGGAGAATAAGGTGGCTGAGGACACACCGTAACATTTTTACAAAGCTGCATCCCTGGTGGACAGCACCTGGCAGCAGCATTCACCATATATATATATATATATATATATATATTTTTTTTTTTTTTTTTTTGTCTTTTTCCTTTTTATCGGTACCGGGGATCGAACTCATGACTGCCTGCTTACAAGGCAGGCGCTTATGCCGCTGAGCTAAATCCCCAGCCCACAAGTGGAATATTTTAGGAGGATTAAGGTCCCCATATATTTTGATCATCCCTGGGACAAACAGAGCTGGAATTTTCAGGTGACTGCAGCAACAAGGGGTATCTCTTTCTCCCTGTGAAGCCAGCACTTAAGTCCTGGGATTGTCCTTGGTATGACCAAAGTTTCTGCAAGGACAGTGAGGCCTTGACAGACAGGAGCACTGGAGGATGTGGGTCATCAGGACGGGCCCTCGGCAGGGGACAGGCTGAGCCATGTGTAAGCCTCAAGCAGAAAGCCTTTCTGTGTTGTCCCCAGGCTTGTGCTCTGGTGGAGAGAATACTGTGACTGAAATGCAGCCTAGTGTGGGACATGGTGAAAGGCTGACTTGGGCCATGTGACCTTGGACAAGTTACTTGGTCGTGGAAGCCTTGGCACAGAGTCCGGTTCACAAGAGAGCCAAAGAAACCATGGGCGTTGTTTTCCTTTTCTTTTGCCCACCTGGGGGTCCTGAATTTCATGCTCATGCCCTACGTTTCCCATTGCCGCCAGTCAAACCCGGGAGAGGTTCCCCAGTGTGTGCCTTGCCATGTGTGTTTTCCTGTGTCCGCAGCTGTGTTGGTCTTACTGCAGCACTGCTGGTTTTGGTAGAGGATGGATGGGGGAAGACTGCTGGAGGAGGAGCAGTGAGATTGTGGGGTCGCTCTTCCTCAGTGGGTCGCCCCCTCCCCGCTTCTTCTTCTTGGTTGACAGGGTGCTGGGGATAGAACCCAGGTTGTCCTGCATGTTAGCATATGCTCTATACACTCCACCACTGAGCTACATCCCCAGCCCTCGGAGGCAGCTACATCCCCAGCCCTAAGTAAGAGGCAGCAAATTATGGCCCGTATCGACGTAAGCCCTGCAAGCCACAGAGCACGTTAGCAACACTTCCTACCCTACACATTCGGACTTACCTGTGGCATCAGTCCAGCCCGTTCTGAGGACTTCCACTCCCTTGCTCTACTCTATGGCTAGAAGTGGGTGCTGTGGGGCAGAATGGAAATCAGAAAGATTTATACACCCTGATCAGGTGGCAAGTGGTTAAAAAGCTACTAACTGAAACATCTTTTTGCTTCCTATCAATTCTATTATAATGTCCTTAAGATTTGCAGTTTTGTGGCCGGACGTGGTGGCGCATGCCTGTCATCCCAGCACTCTGGAGGCTGAGGCAAGATCCATGTAAATTTGAGGCCAGCGTGGGCTACTAAGTAAGTTTGAGGTCAGCCTGAACTGCATAGTGAAACTGTCTCAAAAACAGAAGGAAAAAAAAAAAAAAAAAGATTGGCAGTTTGCAGGTAGTCTGGCAAGGAAGGTAATGTAGTGCCTGGGTTTTTTTTTTTGTTTGTTTGTTTGTTTTTAGACAGGGTCTCCCTATGCAGTTTGGGCTGGTCTTGCACTCACTTTGTAACCCAGGCTGGTCTCAAATTTACAGGATCCTCCTGCCTCAGGGGATGGCAGGCTGGGATGACAGGCGTGCGCCCCCATGCCTAGCTCCTGTTTTTGTAGTTTTTAAAAAATGTTTTCTGGTTTATCAGGAAGAAAAAAGTTGTTTATATCATACCTTCTGAGATACTCTAAATGGTCCTGGGCTTCAATTTCTCTACTCTGCAAAAATAATGAGGATCACAATTAAGACAGAACTCTTAGCTTTCCTGTAGAAAGCTAACTCTTAGCTTTCCTGACAATGTAGAATTTTTCTTTAGCAAGCCTAATCAGTTGGTGGGAGTTACCAAAAACAAATGTGTGGCCCGAGAAGATGGAAGGCACCCAGCGGCCACACCATGGGATTCTGTCCGCAGCATTCCAGATTGAGCTCACTGGTAGCCTAACTGGGATAGGAGACACAGAGGCAGCCTGCTGCAAGGAAGGCTTATTTCTTTTGATTTGTAGATAAGCAAGCCACTGGAGATACTACAGGTTCAGAGGCTGATACATTATGGCAGGAGCTGGCCACCAAATGGAGGCAGGCACAGTGCTTTGAAAGTAAAAGCCTGCGAGTTTCTCCACTCCATGCTCCCCAAGCAGGCTCCCCACCACATGCAGCAGATCCAATACCTGGAGCCTCAAGTACAGCTGCACAATGGCCAGTTAATCAAAAGGCTTTTCTGGCACAGCAGCTACTTCTGTGTCTGGCTTACTTAAATGAGAATATATTCTGCACCTTATTTATATAGGGAATCACGGGACAGTAGATGCTATTGAAAAATGTTTATCCAGGGGAAGGAAGGTAGTGATACAGAATGTTTAACATTAACTATGCAATTGCTGCTAAATGAATCAAAAGCCAATGTCATTTAGTCCCCTGGGAAAGGACAGTGGTAACTAAGCTCACTTTGGGAGGAGAGGCAAACAGCAATGGGAGGCATGAGGCAGGATGAGCTGGTGCCTCCGGCAGGCTGAAGGCAGGGGCCAAGGCCTTGTGAAAAGATCCAGACCCAGAGTCAGACCTGGGGCCTCATGCCAGTCAAAAGCATGCTACTGTGACAACAGCACCTTGCTATGCAGGCAAACTCCTTAACCTTCTCAAGCCCGTGCTTCATCCTGGAACCTGAGCCCAGTCAGAGGCTCACGAGAAAGCACACATGAATTCAGCATAGCACTGGCGCACACAGGGCCTAAAGTGAGCGAGATGCCAGTGTGGATGGTGGTAGGGCTGCTGTTCTTCCTGGCTGCACAACAGCAGCACGAATGAAAAGCTGCGTCAGGTCTGCTCAGTGGGTGCCACGCCGCTCAATCCGCAGCCCAGACAAGCGTGGACCTGGGAACCTGGGGAACCTGCCCAGGGCCACACCTGCCACCTCCTCGGTGAGGTTTAGAGGGGCAAAGGATCAGCTCAGAGAGTGTTTTTATTTTTAAAAATACTTTTATTGTGAAGAGTGACCCCTGAAGTATAGAAGAGCTTGTGGATAGTATAACAAAATGACCTTCCATTCTCTTTTTGGTAGAGACAGAATCCTAGTCCTCATGCATGCTAAGCCTGCGCTCTACTACTGAGGCATGTCCCTGGCCTTTCTAAAATCTTGAGACACAGACTTACTAAGTTGCCCAAGCTGGCCTTGAACTTGTCGTCACTCCATCTCAGCTTCCCGTGCAACTGGGATTACAGCCTACGCCACAGCGCCTAACAGCTTAATATTTTATGTTTAGAAACACACTGTTTCCCTGCAACCTTTGTATTTCAATTACCACTTAGGACTAAGCAAGCTAGGCAGCACAGGGTTCATCCATTTGCACCTGAGTTCTGGCTGCAGCCTAAGGCAAGCTGTCTTCTTTTCTCTTTTTTGAAATGTTGGGGACTGAACCAAAGGCCTTTGCACTGAGCGACATCTTCAGCACTTTTGAAAATTGGGGACAGGCGCTCGTTAAGTTCCTGAGGCTGGGCTCAAACTTGTCACGCTCTTGCCTCAGCTCCTAGAACATTATTAACGTTTAACACCAAGTTTGCTGAGGACAAAGATGGCCTGAAGACTGTTTAGATGCTTCCGCAGGACGATAGGTGGGTGAACTAGATGTCTTGCATGGAGTCTCATGCTGAATTTCTAGGCACATTGCTGGAGGACTTGCTCAGGAGTTCAAGCTGTCGCCCTGCAAGCAAAATCTTACCATTGCCACTTACCCAAGGAAGCTCCTGCCAACACCAAGCAAGGGACAGAGCATGGGTTTGACAGAAAATTAAGACGATTATTTAAAAGGCAGACCATGTCACAGGCATTCTTTTTCCCTCAGTGTCATGAAAAGCAGCTGTGCTGCCTGACACGTGAGGCACAATGGCTTCTGCAGGCAACAGTGTCACCTGTCACCACTCCAGCGCTGAGGAGAATCTCTGGGCTTTTTGGATAAAGCTGGTAATCTACCTGATCCATACAGGACTGGGACTGGCTATGCAAGTGCCTCCATGAAGATATTTGCATAGATAAATAAAACACACTCTACTGAGATAGCTTACACTCATACTGCACACTGGAGACGACAGGTGTATTCCTTCACAGCTGAGGTGGTGGTGGTGGTAACAGGGATTGAACCCGGAGCACTAGTGACATCACCATTCCTTTATGATACCGGGTCTAGCTAAGTTGCCAAGGCTGGCATCCTCCTGTCTCAGCTTCCTGAGTAGCCGGGACTCTATATACCTGGTCCCTTCTTGGGCTCTCACCTTTGTCTTACATTCGGCAACATGATAACCCTTTAGGACTAGCAGATCATTAAGTAGGCCTATTCTTCAAGCAACAAATGTTCAGGGGTGCAGGATATTTACTGTGACTGAAGTTTTCATTGTTTTAGCATTCTGATTATGGCAAGTGACACATGTTTATTTACAGTAATTTTTTTTTTGGATAGGATCTCGCTATGAACCTATGGTAATCCTCCTGCCTCGGCCTCCTGGTGTTGAGATTTGGCCTATGGGGTGCAGTTATCTGCTACTCCCTGCTGAGGAGACTAGGAAAGAGGATGCTATCAGGAGGTTCTACTGACCTTCTACCCTGAGAACTTTTGACCTTAAAGACAGATGGGGAGATACGGAGAGAACCCCAACACATCTCATTTCAGGGGATGCACCTAGCCAGGCTGGTGGCACACTCCTATAACCCCAGCATTCTGGGAAGCTGAGGCAGGTTCACAACTTAGCCAAACAGCAAGACTCTGTCTCAAAAATTTTTTTAAAAAGTGCTTGGGGTCCAGTGCAAGGGGTTTGGACCAATCTCCATACGGGGACAGGCTGGGTGGTGAGGGCAGCGGCACACGGTGCCAAGCGCTTTACGGAAAACGGGCACGAAGTCCTTTTCCTGAGAGGGCTGGGGTGAAACTCTGAAGTTCCCAGGAAGAGACAGATGATAAAGGGAAGCTGCGCGCCCACTCCCATGCTAACTGAAGACAGAAGCTGCCTTACGGCTCAGGACAGTGCCCTTTTCTATTTTAATCAGTGTAGAAACACATGTGCAGGAATGTTTGCAAGGGTTTCCTTCAAGAATGCTCTGCCCCCCGGCCCTCAGTCTTTGCTTCCCTTTTACATCTGTCAGCATCTGCCTAAGGGAGCGGGGACGCCGTGGGTAAGGGTATTCTCTGCCAGTTTGGGCACTATCGTCTATCAGTATATACGCAATCTAGTATCTGGTAAAGACCAATGGTAAAACACCAAGGTTTAGAGAACAACTTTAGGAAGAAAGATTTAAAATTAATTGCAGAGTAAGATTTAAAATTTTAGGAAGATTAAAATATAAAGACTTGAAGTCTGAGGTCTGGGGATTTAGCTCGGTGGCATAAGCGCCTGCCTGACAAGTACAAGGTCATGGGTTTGATCTCCAGTACCAAGAAAAAAAGTAAAGACTTAAAGTCACCAGTTTTCATAAAGTTGAGAAATAGTGTTTTAGTTTAAATGGCACACTTTATCATCTCATCTCCCTGAACAACAATTTTATGATTAAACAAAACTGTTGTTTTCCAATAATCATGACTCACTTTTGAGAGGAGCTAAAGGAACACCCACACAGACCCAGGTGCGTCCGTCCGCCTTAAGGAACAGTTTACCTCCTCCGGTGCTGGGTTGGACTCCAGTGTTTATTCTCCGTGCGCCCCGCCCCGCCCCGCCCCGCCCACACATCCACTGCTCCCGCCGCACCGCACCGCTGCTGTCTCCTGTCTCCGCTGGGCTGCCCTTGCGCATCCAGCGCTCTACTAGTGGCGTCCGCATCAGTGTTACTTACGCCAGCGACGCAGCTCTTTGGACAAACAGAGACAAACGTAAGGATCCGAGTGGCCGCTTCCACTGAGTGCTGCTACCCTGTCTTCCCACAGATCAGTTCCCTTCGTTCTTGTGTCACTGGCTCGGGGAACCACCTAAGCAGCTGTCAACATGTGGCAAATTTTTTTTTCTGGTGGTGCTGAGGATTGAGCCTGGGCCTCAGGCCCGGTAGGCAGGTACTCTAGTGCTGAACCCGACCCCTCCCCAGCTTGTATATTCTTGCTTCTCAAATTTGGAAACAGTCTTGGGTACAACATGGTCCTGTTTCACTTCAGTCTCGAATTGGAGATACGAAAAATGCAATGTCTAGCAAATATCTACTTAGAAATACCAACTATCTGCTACATAATTCCTTTTTCTTTTTGTCTTTTTGACACAGTGTCTTACTGTGCAGTTTAGATTGGCCTTGAGCTCACATTGTAGCTCAGGCTGGTCTCCAACTCGCAGTGATTCTCCTGCTTCAGTCTCCTGAGCAAGCACTGGGATTACAGGCATGTACCACCACATCCAACTCATAATCTTTTTGGAGTGGTAGAATCCTAAGGGAAACTCTTTTCTCTGGGAGAAATAACTCTTGCTTTTGGGTCTCTCCATTCATGTAGAGATTCCAATTTCACCAAAGGCTAAGTGCTTTACGTAAGAACTGGCTGTTACACTTTACAACTCAGGATACAGGGAGTACTGGGGCCCCATTCCTGCTGGATGACCTCCTATTCACCTGGCATTATTCTAGCCAAAAATACTCAATGATATTTTTTGTTGTTGATTTTTTTTTGTCTTTTTCCTTTTTATCGGTGCTAGCATCCTGGGATGCTGAGGCAGAAGAACTGCAAGTTTCAGCCTGGGCAGCGTGGCAAGGCCTTGTCTCAATATAAAAAAAATTTAAAAGCACTGGGGGATATATCTCATTGCTGAGGCCCTGGGTTTGATCTTCAGTGGCACCAAAATAAAAAGTAAAAAAAAAGAGAAAGGGAAAAAAGCTATAATTACTTGATAGCTTCCTATAAACTACTTTTAAAAATTTTAAGATTTTTTTTTTTTTGTCTTTTTCGTTTTTTATCGGTACCAGGGATCGAACTCACGACTGCACACTTGCAAGGCAGGCGCTTATGCCGCTGAGCTAAATCCCCAGCCCCCCCCTTAAGATGTTTTTATATGATACTCAAACATTATTTGAACTAAAAAATTAAATTCAGGCATTTTCCTTCTGGTTAAAATTTGGTGTAAGCTGAATTTCACAATTAGAAGGGAGTTTGCTTTGAACTCTAAAAGGTAGATCAAGACCTGTAAGTCTCAGCGCATTTACAAATGGCAACAGTGTTCTGTTCCTCCTCTCTCATGGTCAAAGCTGTTCTATTTGACTGCTAAAATTTAGCTTTTGGGGACTAAGGAGAGTTCCTTTCCTCTGACAGGGAAACAGCTGATGGGAGAAATCAGACTCCCAGTGACAACATAAAGTGGGGGACAAGAAAAATAATGTAAATTCTACTCAAGTCTTATAAAGCCTATTATAAACAAAACCTCTAAAACAACTCCCAGAAGCCCCAGTAAGAGTTCATCCCCTAGGTCATGTCAGATACTGCAAAGCTAGTATGAAAGCCATTCTGAGAATCCCTGGTGTCCCTGCAATAGGACATGATCTGTAAGACAGGCTAGAAATGCAAAAGGCTTACTCAAATGCCTGAAGCTCCAGCTACAGCACAGGATAAAGTACCCGGTAAAGAGCATCGTGATGCCGCCGACTCCACTCTTCTTTACAGTAGTGCTGCACCGGATCCAGCCTGTCCAAAACGAGCATGTCCAATTATTAAACTGAGCCAGCATAGGGTGTTACTGAAGTCAACACACTCAGCCTGGGTGATGGAATTCTAACTCAAGACAATTCTCATACACACACACTCTAAGCAGATGAAAAGGCTAAAATCCAGAAGACTTTAAGTTCAGACATCCTTGTATTTGGGAGGTGGGTTAAGATCTGAGTGGGATAGAGACCAATGCAACTGGTTAATGAGTCTTGCACCTTCCTGGCTTGGGGAGGAGGCATGATCAATATGGGCCGGAGGGCTTGGGGACAAGTGGCGGGAGAGGCAGGGTAGGTCATTAAAAATTGAAAGTTGCCCAACAAATGGTAGATGCTGCTATACTAGTTCTGGTGCTTTTAATTATGCCCAACTACGAAATGAAAACAAACAGAAGACAAAAATATTATTCTCTTTTCCTTCTCACTCTTAATAGCCTGCGTTAAGAGAAGCTTCTCCAAACGCCTGGAGCCAGCCACAGAACCCAGCTGTCAGTAACTCCAGCCTCACCTTTTTGTACAGCTCCCAAGAACCTTGTTAGAGGGAAGGTGGAGGTTGTAAGCCTGGCCGAGGGTTCCAAACTCCTTAGATCAGCCGAACTTCTTTCCAAAAAGGGAACTAAAGTTCCAAACAGAGGTCACAGTAATAGTTCATACAAATTCACCCCCTTCCCCAGCACTCAGTACAAAGGTTCCCATTGCTAGGCCACGGGCAAAGCATATTCTAAATAGGTACACTGAATTTTAACCAAGTGTTGACAGTTTAATCTATTCCAGGTCAAAAAAAGTTTCTGACTAAAGAAGCCCTTGGAAATCAGGACCCAGTATTTCTTTCTTTCTGATTGATGAACACACTGTCCAGATTATCTGATTCGTATGCACATGCTTAACCAAATGAATTATGTGTAGGTTCTACCAGCTATGAAACACTTTGGCAAAAAGTATGACTTCATACTTTCTCATGTGAAATGCTTGGACCACAAGTCTTACAGATTTTGGATTCTTAAAAAATTATGTATTTATTTTTGGTACCAGGAATCAAACTAAGGACCTTGAGCTTGCCCTGCAGGCGCTTGTACTGTTGCTGAGCTATATCCCCAGTCTCTAGATTTTAGATTTTTTTTTTTTTGTCTTTTTGAGACAGGGTCTCCCTGTGCAGTTCAGGCTGGCCTTGAGCTTACTTTATAGCCCAGGCTGTCTCGAACTCACAACAATCCTCCTGCCTCAGCCTCCCAAGTGCTGGGATTACAGGCATGAGCCACCATGCCCAGCGATTTTAGGTTTTTTAAAAAATTAAAATATTGGCATATATAAAAAATGTGTTATCTTATGGATGGAACCCAAGTCTAAGAATGAAATTGTCAGCCAAGTGTGCACACCTGTAATCCCAGCATCCTGGGAAACTAAGGTAAGGGGGCTAGCAAATTCCAGTGCAGCCCAGACAATATCCTATGTCTCAAAGTAAAAAAGACTGGGCGGTGTAGCTCAGTGTGAAGGCACTGAATTCAGTCCCTAGTTTTGGGTGGGAAGGTGGGGAATGAATTCACTTTTCTTTTTGTTTTTGGTATTGGGGATTTGGGTTCCTCATCTATAAAAAAGACAAAACCAGATTTTTTCAATGTTTAATACAGGCAAGTAAGCTCTATAACCAGTGGTTCCCTGGTCTTCATTTTGGCTTGTTGGAAAAATGCATAACTTAAGCAGTTGCTGCTCACAGGTTTAGCATGTGTGATAAAAGTTGCTGTGGACGTAAAACATTAACCAAATTATCATTGCATTAAATAATAGTGAGCTATATTCATTCATATATTATAAATAACAATGAAGTATGCTGAATTCCAAAAAATTACATAGCTCAGCTCCTGCAGGGTGTAGTGAAAAGTGTAGCCTCATGAAACATGCGTTGTGACTGCCTTATGGGTGGCGCCAAGAACCACGTGGCTCCTTGAGCCTTCCATCTTCCTTCAGTCAGCTGGGTTTATTTATTCCCATCTACAGGTGCAGGCAAACCTATGTGAAAGACACTAGGCCAGCAGCAGGCCAGAGGCGCCCATAGGCCGCCAACACCTGCTTCCATTTTTCCTTGCCTGCCACCCAGGCGCACTGGTTCTGGGTTGTGCCCCGAACAGTCTGCCTCGGCTCCCACTGTGCACCCAGAACCGCTGATCCCACCACTGCCTCACCTCTCTGCCTCATTTCTTAGACACTGCCTCGTTCTCACCTGCCAGTAACAGCATCTTCATACGGCCTGCAGACAGTGGCTACATTCTCTTATACAACTCGTCCCTTGCAACCTCTAAACTTCCTCTTGTCCCTCCTTTCTAGTCTGAATCCCAGAGGAACAACTTGACTCCTCCTTTACCCTGCTGTACAAAATTCACATTCATATTTTGCTGATGCCTGAAGCTGTGCTCTGTGATCTAAAACATTCTCGAACTCACAGCGATCTCCTGCCTCAGCCTCCGGAGTGCTGGGATTATCGGCATGCACTGCCACGCCTGGCTGGGCCTGGATTTGAATCCTGACTGTCACATACCCTGAATGTGCGTAAGTCACTTCGTATGTCTGTGGTTCAGGTTCCTCTTATACACGAGCGTGGGGCAGTAGCACCACTTCAGAGCTTCCATAAGCATCAAATCAAACACTCTAATGGACAAGTCATCACTGATAATCATTAATCCTTCTGGTTTTTCCTCTAAAATGAAAAGTGTATGTATCAAGGAGACTTTTTAGTGCTACAAAAGAACAGAAAATAAAGAAGTTCTTCTATTTGCCAGAAAGACTATGCAATCAGTATGTGCGTAAGCATCTGAAAAACTAAGAAAGAGAGCACTGTAACAAGCACCTGTTTCTCAGTGTGGTGTACTTCCACAACCTGATTCAGCTCAAAGGGTCAGGCGAGGCCCTGGGAGACCAGTTTCTACTCACACTCTACCATTTAGGGGCAACATGACCTTGACCAAGTCACTTACACTCTCTGTGCCTCTTTTATTATTTGCAAAAGAGATGGAAGCACTGTGAAAACTGCAGAAACACAAATATTAAAATTACTAAGTCTGTGTTTCACCTGGAGAAGCCTGACCTGGAGACTACAGCTTTGCACAGAAAGTCTTGATGTTAGGCCCATTGGGGGAAAATCTGAATCTACCGAGGCAGGTGAAGAAAATGCAGCGTTAGCTAGCAGTGGCCTTCCCTTAATACGCACCGTGTTGAAAGCCTCTAGAAAAGAATAATTACAGTGGGTGGAAGTGTAGCACAGTGCCAACTAGCATGCTCAGCACACGTGAGGACCTGGGTTCAATCCCTAGCACCAAAAAAAAAAAAAAAAAAAGGAAACAAGTGACAGATAAATAATACCAAAGGAACGCTTTCTGATGCAGTACCAGGGATAGAAGGCACTGTCTCACATATGCCTGGCAAATGCTCTATTACCGACTTATATTGTCAGCCCTTCTAAATTTGTTAGTTTATTTTTAAGATAAGGTCTCACTAAGTTGCCCAGGCTGGCCCTGAATTTATGATTCTTTTGCTTTAGATTCCACAGTAGCTGAGGCAGGAAGATTGCTAAGCTTGGGCCCTCAGCCTGGGCAACTTAAACGAGATTGTGTGTCAAAAGATAATGCTGGCTGGGGTGTAGCTCAGCACCTCTGGGTTTAATTCTCAATACTGAGCTAGGGTGTGGGGGTAAAAATTAAAATTAAAAAAGGGAAAATGGTTTTGAGATCAGGCAGAAGGGGCTGAAGGGACGCGTAATCATATAATATATGATCTGCAAAAATATATCAGAAAGGGAAAATCTCACTTTGGGAAGATCAATTTTTCAGGAGCACATCAACTCTGAGTCATTACAGGGGTCCTGTCAAAGTAAGCCTGCAAGCAACGAAGACCACTACACAAGAAAGAGGTGTTATTTATGTCTTTACAGTCTCTAAAAAAAAGAAATCCCTATCCCCTCCAAGCCTCCTGGAGAGCAAAATGATGAAACTTTATGTATTATAACTAGAAAGGTAACTTAGTAACCAAAGATAAAATTCAGCAGGAAAAAAGTGAGAATGCTAAACTTAAAATGCCTGTCAGGAACTTTCTGGCTACTTTGTTTTTTGTACTGGGAATCAAACTCTCAGCCTCTTGCTTGTCAGGCAGGCTCTGTGCCACTGAGCTAAAACTCTGGCCCTCTGGCTCTTACTTGTCTGTGTGTGTGTGGTTTGTTTTGTTTTGGAGACAGAATTTCAGTACGCAGTTCAGGCTGGCCTTGAACTCACTTTGTGGCCCAGGCTGGCCTCAAACTCAGTGATCCTCCTGCCTCAGCCTCCCAAATGCTGGGATTACAGGCATGTACCACACTTGGCCTCTCTTTCATTCACTTATTTTAGCTATCAGCCAGGAGCACGTAAGAAACTTCCAAAGAGACAGACCAACAACTGAGATCAGTGTCAATGCCCAGTCTTTCTATCCAAGTCCTTCTTATCTAATCTTTCATGTCTCAAGGCTCAATCTCTGGCTCTGTTGAGTCCTAATCTCTGTGGCCTAGTTCTTCAGTGCACAAGACTTCTACATTCTTTTTGCCACATGGCTTATTTCAGTATTTCTGGTCCTTGATCTTTACTGATTTATCTCCTCTTGTTCCAATTCCACCTGTCTCAACTTCCATTCTTTCCTGGCCAGTTTTCTCTCTGTCGTCTCTCCAACTCCATAAATAGCTTCTACTTGTGCCTTCTCTGCTACTCTACATTTCTAGATGTTATATTTTATCATAAGGCTGACACCTATTTCCTGTCTAATTTGGCCCTGACTGAATTTTGAAGTCTTTTTGCTTGTTTGGTCCATTCAGTTTGAGTATCCATCTACTAAACCACAGCTACTAGGTTCCAGAAGCAAGAAGTAATGTTTTCATCATCATAAGTACAGTGAACTTTCATAGTGGCTACACATGAAAATAAGCTGAATGAATGAGAATATTATTATTCTGACTCCTGTTCCAAAGGTACAAAGCACCGTGGCTGGACTGGGTGGCCTTTGAGAATAAGCCTTACCTTGTGAGAGACTTCCCCACTGAGGATGGGTGAGCTGAGGCTTCTGGGCCATTGAGTTCCAACACTGAGGCTTCCCTGCCAATACTCCGAGTCCAAGATAACCAGAATAGAGCTCTGGAAACCATTCCAGCCCCATGGAGCTGGAAAGGGTCTTTTTCTCTGTGGCACCAACGTCGTTAATGAAGGAGCTTTTACAAAGGTGATGCTGTGTAGAATATGTTGGTTGCTGGTACCTGGTATGCAAAGCCTTGGGCTGACAGCCAGATTTGGGCTCCAGAGACATCTGTTCCTTACTTTCTCCTAACAGCCTTACACCAGGGACTTGATTATGACTGAAGACTTCTGCCCTCTCTTCTTGAAGAGATTTCATAGCCAGAGAGGCAAGACTTTGATTATTTGACTGTGGTACAGGAAAAAACTCACCGTCAGCCGTCTCCCGTGCAGTGAACACATTTAAAACTGGACCTTCGTCTTTTGATTTCTCTTCTGTGGCTGAATGACCAGAGCTAGAGTTCGCAGAGCCACAGCTAACAGAATCCCACTTCTGCATCTCTGTTGCAAGGATACTTTTCTCTGCATTTTCTTTGCTCCCACACTGCTCTACTCCAAAGCCAAGTCCTTTTCCTTCATTTTCCTCGACTTGAATTTCAGCTAATGGGCTAACGTGAAGGCCTCTAACTAGTGATTCTGGGTTCTTTTCCTGAGTCTCAGAATCTTCAATACCAGTTAAGGCTCCTGGGAGGTGATCTCCGTCTCTGGAATCTCTCACCTGGCTCAGCACTGCTACTGTTATTTTTTGAACTCTATCAGTGAGATTCTTTGGAGACTGATGGTGATCACCTGTAGGCGTACCTAGTAATTTTACAAGATGCCACTGTCTTTGGGGATCAACTGTGTCCAGTTTCAAATTTACAGATGTGGCTTGTACATTATTAGGTAAAGATGAGGAATATTTTTTATCTTGATTCAACAAAGACGGTTCCATTGAGTCTGTAGGTAACAATGCTTCCATTTCTGAAGGATTATACCTACTTTCTTCTAACACACGCACATCTTTGGCAAGTTCTCTTTTAGAACTGTCTTTCGATGCATAAAAATTAGCTTTAGATTCTCCTTGGAAAGTAATCTTCGGCTCAGTGTGATTTAACATTTTGAAGGCAAACTGATTTTGATCCTTGATGTCTTTAACTGCCTTTGAACTACTTACTCTTTTCAAGTCAACAGCTAGTTGTGGACAGGAAGCACTTGTTTGTCCTGCTTTGTCCTGTCTTGATTTGGCATTTCTTTCTTTGCCCTTTGTCTTAAACTCTTTCCCTTTGGCTTCAGTTAAGTCTCTGATCAGCTCCTTCACTTTTGTGGCATGTGGATGCGTAGACGGCTTTAACTGAGAAATTTTTTGATCAGTAGGTATGGTTGGTCCTATCATCTTACAGTATGGCAAGTGGGATTTTAATCGTTTAAATGGTTTCTTACAATACGGACACACTTCCATTTTGGGGTGAATACTACTCATTCTTCTCCTGAAAAAGGTAAATATAAGAAAAATGAGGCACACATGCCAATATTTTATGTATGACTTTCAAACAATTAAAAATGTGTTTTAATCCATACTTTTTGTATAGGGGCAGAAAACAATTTAGACACTATCTGGTATTAAGGTATCCTTAGATCTCTTTGTTTGGTATGTAAAATCCTCTAGAAATTAGTCATAAAAAAGAATCAAAAATTTTCAACATCTCTAATGGGGCAAGCAAGAGCAAAAAATTTTTAACAAGTTAATGGTTGGTTGAAGAACACTAGGTCCAACAAGCAGGCAGAATATGTAAGTTGCAGCAAGGCAATTGGATGTTATGACTTAGACCTAAAATGGTCCCCAAAAGCCTGTGTTCATTTTGATCAAAAGGGCCTTAACCTCATTAACAGCCCAGCACACCGAGTTCGTAACTAAATGGGCTAACATGAAGGACAGCCCAGCTGATGCTCTTAGAGGATGTATCTCTTCTCTGGCTCCCTACCTGGTCTCCTCTGCTTTTGGCTGCCATCATGTAAGCCACTTTCCTCTGCCATGCCCCTCCACGTTTCTGTCTTGGAGCTGGCTAATCATGGACTACAACCTCTGAAACCATGAGCCACAATAAATCTCTCCTCCTTTAAATTATGAATATCAGGTAGGTATTTTGTCCCAATGGCAGAAGGTAACTAATACCTATGAATGTAAAGAAATTACATTTGTATTTAAAAAGCTATGCCAGGTGTGGTGGCACATGCTGTAATTCCAGCCCTTAGGAGGCTGAGGCAGGAGGATTGTGGTAAGTTTGAAACCAGCCTGGATTACAAAAGTGAGCTCAAGGTCAGCCTGAACTGCATAGCCCCCCCCCCCCAAAAAAAAAAGCCTTAAATGCTTCATTCAAGGATGGAATGGTAAATAAAACTCAGGCTAGTACCCAAAGATTACTAATTAGAACAAAAGTTTCCAAAGTGATCTAAGAAATATCCACTGGGGTACAAGAACAATAAAAAACTCTTTTAAGTGTAAGACACGAAGCTAACATTTAGCTCATTAGCATTAAGTGTGTATCTATACAAATATAAAACAATACATGTAGGAACACACTCTAGCATTTTACTCATAGTTTGTAGTACAACTGATCAGGAGCTGCAGGAGATTGTGAGGACTCTCAAATTTGTTGATAACTTTGTTACACACATTATCATGCAAGCATTTATGCCACACATTAGTACCCCTGTTACTATGCAGAGTTGGGAAAAGGAAATGTTTAATTCCAAAGCTCATAAGTTATTTCTCTCTAAATATTTGTTTCTATGAATTCTACAGGGTAGTGAATGTATGTATCCTCTGCACAGCTATATTATCAAAACCTACCATTAAGCCTAGCACATAAAATCTGTTGAATTCTTTCTCCAGCCATAAAGGTGTTAGACAGAGGTTTAAAAAAAAAATAAAAAGACTATTGCTGGCTCAGGAGAGCTGCAGCAGACTGTGAGGACCCTCAAAAGAGACAAAGCCAGGGAGTCGCTTTTATGAGGTTGGGTTAGGGCTGGAGACTTTGAGTGGGCAAGGTGCTATGCTGGGATGGACTGGAGGATTTTTGGCGTGCATATGAAAGTAAAGTCGAAGTTTATTTTGGGACTAGAAGAACACAAAAGTTAGTGTATATACATAATATACTATTGTTTTAGGACTTGGTATCAATTTGAGCAGGTGTCATGTTGAACCTGTCAGAGTCCCACACAAAAGAACCCATCATTTCCATCTTTTTGTTGTTATGGGGTGAAAAGTCTTTAAACTGTTTCTTGCTGACAAGGGGCATTGTAGTAGGGGCTGTTGCAGTTGTAGGAATGATGGGTTAGATCCATAAGGAAGCTAGTACCAGGAGGTCTTGGCCAGGACAAGGAGTTCTCCGGGAGTGAAGACCCATAGCTCTGATTCAATAAATCCTGAAAGAAGTTTAAGTAAACAGGAGCTATCAGCAAAAAAATTAGTAGTATGATGGGTCCCAACAGGGGGAGAAAGTAGGGGGTCCAACCCCCTGGGGAAGACCAGATGGAAAAAGCTTGGTGAGAGGCCTTGCTGGTTTTGGAGGCAATAAATTTGAGGGTTTTCTTTACCTTTTCATCTCCTACAAACCAATAAATAACCCAAACTCAGACATTCCTATAACTCCTGGAGACTTAATACATCTTAAATTCTCTAAGCCCACATGACCCCTAAAGGTGGCCAGGACCCTATTTGGTCATCTTCATGACACCAACAGTGGTTAAGGTCAGTGCCTTTCGTCTTGGTTTCCCATCACCAAAGCTAAGCATTGCCCCACGATTCCTAACCCTAAACCCCTTCCCCAAATTGGTCATCACTCTTTCGGTCTCCCATTCATCTTCATCTCACACGTCCCTAACTCAATATTCTGTTACCCACTGCTCTTCCTTAAATGCTTTTCTAGCATGTTCTTGTATTTGCTGTTGCGTTCTAGACAGTCTTTCCTAATGGTACCAAAACACTCATACCATCCTATTTCTTACTCCTATTTTAGGCCTCAGAGCCTAAAATTGCCTAAAATGAAGCCTTCAGCCTCACTTTTACCTCTCCTATTGATTCTCCTACCAGACAATAGTATACTGCCCCAGATTTTGACCTCACTATTTCATGACATATCAATCGTCTTCACTTGACACATATCATAAACAAGTGGTCCCTTCCCAACCCACAAGTTTCTACGTGGTTCCCCAGTGGGTACCTAATTTTATATAAAAATGAAAGATTACTCTGCCAGTCAAGGCTGGTCTACAACCCCTGCAACTTGAAGCCACCCTAAAAAACTACTTTGATGCTTTCAATCTCCACCAATTTTACACTGCAGTCAAAAACTCTTACATTGATGCTGACCTACATTCGCATGACCTTGAGACTGCTGTAAAAAACTGCTACTATTCTCTGTCTGAGCCTACCCTCCTCAACTAGTCTTAATTTACCACTTAACACCAAATCCCTCAACACCCCAATTAAAGTCATCCCCCTCACTATTTTTCCTACAAGTCCTTACAGTATTCCTACTTTCACCGTCTCCATCTCCAAAACTAATGGCAAAGTCATTTCAACAGCCAACTACACACCCACCAGTACATCCATCACTTCTCATTTCCCATATTGTCAGCTTTACCGTTTCACACAGACATGAGACATAACCACAACATTCACCACTTGTTGGCCAAGGAGTTCTACCTAGCCCCCCGCCCCACCAAACCTAAACAATGTCAATCTCCAATCCTATTTTATACCCCCAGGTGAGGGTGCAAGACAATCAGTCTTTATCATGATAGTACCCCATGGAAAGAAATAGATCCTCATATTTTGATTTCCTTCTCCAACAAATTCCTAATAAAGGATATCACTATAGACATAGCTATCAAAAACATCTCTTTCTAGCAGTACCCGTTAGGCAAAACATGGGGATATGCCTTTTATGATGGAATGGGACCCTACCCAGGAAGAGAAGGAAGATGTCTTATATTTCATTCCACAATCCTAAGTGGTCTTAAAAACACTGTCCACCAAAGAGCTGGCCTCCATTTCTTTTCTCCTTAATCAGACATTTAGGGCTCTTTCCAGCAATACAAACATCACTGACTGCTGACTATGCATGCCATGACCTCACCCCTTACACAAAACAAATCACATTGACACACAAGTACATAACAAAGCTATTGGACCACTTGGCATCATTAACCTTCCAAATTTCCCTCACAACCTAACCTACCTCCAAATACCCCAAGAAAACACCACACATACAAACAGGCACATTATCCCACTGCTCCATCTTCCTGCCCCGCCCCCCAAACATCCCTGGAATTCCTCTGCACCTTTCTGCCTGTCTAAAGGCTGGTTCATATTCTGTAGAAATGGAGCATACACGTCTCCCTGTGAACTGAACAGGCATCTGCCTCTGAGTCTCCTGAATCCCTCAGTGACAGTTAACTCATGATATCTTCGAGGAATCCCTCACAAATACAATACATAACCATGTCCTCCACCCCAAGAGACCTAGAGCCACCCATCTGCCTGTCTTTATAGGAGTAGGCATTTTCTCAACAGGCTTTGGAGGAACAAGCACGGGCCTAGCCTCACAGTCCATAAAATTACATTACCAACTGTCTTTAGAACTCAAGACAACAACAGCTGACCTTAACCACTGTTGGTGTCATGAAGATGACCAAATAGGGTCCTGGCCACCTTGTTGGAGTCATGTGGGCTTAGAGAATTTAAGATGTATTAAGTCTCCAGGAGTTATAGGAATGTCTGTGTTGTCGCAGAAGATGCCTAATTTCAGAAGATGCCTTTCGGAGAAAATTGGAATATAGTTAGTGATAAGGGGAAGGTTTTGTGAGGTAGATAAATTGTGAAAGAGGAAGAGTCTACCATACATGAGCTCCAAGGGGCATAGGAAAGAAGAAGCTCAAGGAACTGCCCTGAGTCAGGTTAGGGCTAAGGGTAGGAGTTGAGGCCAAGATAGATGTAGCTCTAGGCTGAGTTTTGTGAAGTACGTCTTTAGAAGACTCTTTGCCTTTTCTACTTTTCCTGAGGATTGTGGGTGGTATGGTATCTGTAGATGCCAAGTGATATTTAGGCTCAAGGACACCTGATAAGTAGTCTGAGAGATAAAAGCTGGTCTTTTGTCTCACTGGACAGTTTGAGGTAAGCCAAATTAGGGGATGATCTCCTGTGTAAGTTTTAGAAACTATATCTGCAGTCTCTTGGATAGCAGGAAAAGCTTTTAGCCATCCTGAGAAAGTGCAGATGAAAGAAGGTTTTTGTAAGTCTTATGACAAGACATGTATATAAAATCTATCTGCCAGTGTTCACCTGGAGTATGCCCATGAAGTTGGTGGGTTGGCAAAGAAGGGGGAGGTAAGGGTCCTTGCGGAGAGGTCTTGGCACAGAGATGACAACTGTGCGTGGCCAGGCAAATAATGGTCTTTAGGGAGGGATTGGAGTTAGGAGTTTAAATAGAGTTTGAGCACCTACATGAAAGCAGTTATGTATGTTAGTGATGATGTTTAAGGCCTGTCAGTCTGAGACAAGGTTTTTTTTTGTACTGGGGATCAAACTCATGACCTTGTGCTTTCCAGGCAGATGCTTATATCACTAAATCCCCACTTAGGAAGGAGAAGTTTTGTTCCTTGGAAAAACTATCCCTGAGGATTTTGGTTATAGGTAGGTTTGTGGAGTAATTTGTAATTGGTGAGGTGAATATTGAGGTGAGGGCAATCATTATATTCATGTATGGTGAGCCATTATTTCTCTGATAATCTCACTGGGGGTCTGCATTTGGTACTGCAGTGGACCCAGTGGGATGGTCAGGGTTAGTCTGATGTTTATGGTCAGCCTCGGCTTGGGCTGCTTCTCACAGTTGAGTTTTTCCTTAAGGGGAAAGGGTGGATGTAAGAATGACATAGAGGTCTTTGTAATGTAGGTCATAGGAATTAATCACATATGGGAGCTCTTTTATAGAGTTATGGGATCTGTAGAGAAAGAGCCACAGTCTATGAGAGATTTGGGATAGGTCAGGAAGGGAAAAAGGGACATGAATGTGAACCAGTCCCTCAGAGCCAGCCATTCTGCAGAGAGGGAGGAGTCAGAGGCAGGACTGATGAATGGCCACTGGCTAGGAGACAATGGTGGCTGGTAAGACAACAGCAGGAGATAGATGGGAGAAGTGAGACGAGCTGTGGTATGCTAGAGGAGAAAATGGCAATGGAGAGCAAGGGAGGAAGAAATGAAAGGGTTGCAGAGAGAGAGGAGGGCCAGGGAGGCGAGGCTGGTTGGAGAAGGGAAGGCATCTTGTGGATATGGTGGAGGGGGAGCGAAAGCAGAAGGGACATTGTCAATAGGGGGTTTGGCAGTGTGAAGCGGGCCAGAATTATGTGAGCTGCCCTATATGCCTGAATGAGAGGGACTTGCCTTAAGGGCAAAACAGACTTGCATATAAGTGATTTTTGACCATTTGCCATTGTGACCATGAGAGTTATCTAAGTCACAAAGGACATTAAAATTGAAAATGCCCTCTTCTGGCCTGTGGCTGCCACTGTCAAGTTTGTATGGGGTCCAAGCAGTAGAAGATTAGCTAGGTTTGTATGGGTTCAGGCAGTAAAAGATTAGCTAGATTTGTTTAATGGACTCCCTGGGACCTAGGGTGTGTAAGTTCTTTAAGAAACACCAGAGCAGAGTGTGTTTCTGGAGTTGGGAAGGAATATTTCCCATGGTGATCAAATTGGTGGTGAGCCAAAGGATGAAGCTGATCACAACCCCTAGGAGGATTGTTACCCTCATAGGGGTATGGACAGAGAGGGAGGTGCCCATCGGCCCCCACAGGTCATCACCTAGGGAACAAAGAGGCATTCCTGAGGGAGCCCTGACATGGGCCTATGATTTTAAGAAAGACAGAGAAACCGAGAGACAGGGGAGAGGAAAGAGGGAAAGAGGGAAGAGGGAGGGAGGGAGGGAGAGAGAGAGAGAGAGACAGACAGACAGACACATAGAAGCTCCCAGAATGAGGAGCAGCTCATGTGTGGAAGACTATGTGGACCCGTGTTGGACGGAAGCTGGCAATGGCAAAGGCACAGATGACAGACAGGAAGGGTGGCTTGTTGGTGGGGAGAGCTCAGACTGGGATAAGTCCCCAGGAGCTGCATGTCCCTACAATATCTGAATCAAAACACCAAAACATTATTTTTTTGGGAGGGGGATGCAATTAAGAGACACAGGTTTAAAAAAAAAAAAGCCCTTATTGCTGGCACAGGAAGGCTGCAGGAGACCGTAAGGATCTTCAAAAGAGAAAAAGCTGGGGAGTCACTTTTATGAGGTTGGGTTGGGGTGGAGACTTTGTGAGTGGACAAGGCACCATGTTGGGAGACAACTGGAGGACTTTTGGTACACGTGCGAAGGGGAAGTGGGAAGTTTATTTTGAGACCATAAGAACATAGAAGTTAGTGTAGGAAAAATATACTATTGTTTTAGGGCTCAGTGTCATGCTGACAGGTACCACGTTGAGCCTGGCAGAGTCTCGTATGAGTGAAATTCATCAAAAGGTACAAGTATTATAATTATACAGTACTAAACTGAGAATCTTTGACCATTAAACAGATCAAAAAGGAGATTTTGAATCTATTTATAAAACAAATACTGTAACTCACCTTCCTCCTCTGGGAAGCTATGCAAAACAAAACTGTTTTCTGCTAACAGTCCACTATGGACCACTTACTTACAAAACCACATACACACTCAAAATCCCAATTATTCAGGAGGCTGAGATGGGAAGATCACAAATTTGAAGCTAGGCTGGGCAACTCTGCAAGACCATGCCTCAGAAAAACCAAACCAACCACACAAAACAGCAAAACAAAAACAAAACAAACGAAAACCCAAGCCAAAAAAAGTCTGGCATGGTGGTACACACCTGTGATCCCAGCACTTGGGAGGCTGAGGCAGGAAGATTACTGTAAATTCAAGGACAACTTGGAACTCACAGTACAGTGACACCCTGTCTCAAAAAAACGAGAACAGTACACACACAGGATATAGCTGAGGAGTACAGCAAGAGTCTAGCATGTGCGAACCTCTTGGGGAACTGCGACATAAACAAACTACAACTCTAGACAGCCCACGGTCCTACTGTTACTAACTTTAGATAGTTCGAAGTGGGGGGTGGCCGGCCACGACCCAGAGCTGCCCCTCGGTTCAGCTTCCAGAGCTCAGAAGATTCTGACTGTACAGTACTACACCATACAACCCTACAGGAAAGATATCTGTAGATTTGCACAATAACATCTTATGTCTCTTTTCTTAACCCAGTGCCTCTAAAAGAATGCTAATTTTGCGGCTGGTCCTCGTGGGTCCCCCTGCTTTCTGATCACCGTTCCTGAGTTAACGTCGGCCTGTGTAAGATATAATATGAGATAACTGGACAGCAAAGCACAGTGGCAAACTGTGTACAGTACTGAAACCAATACAAGTTATCTTACAGGGTTATCTGTAGTCAGCTCCAGGTGATGCTACACAGCAAGTTAAAAGCCTTCCCCAACCTCCAGGCACTAGGCAGAACTCAGTTTTGCTAATCTTCACGCTCACCTCGGGTTATGACCTACACACTTTCTCCTCCTCTGCACCATTCCTTCTGAGCTCTGGAAGCTGAGCCGCGGGGCAGCTCTGGGTCGTGGCCGGCCACCCCGCAACTCCACTGAGAGTTCCGAACGAGCCGTTCCGCTCCCCTCCCTTCTAGAAGGGTCTCCTCAGTACGCAGAAGTTGGGCTGTGGGAAATGAGCCCTCTCCTTGAAACTCACCACACAGTGAGGAGCGTCTACACCTCTGGAGATCGGAAAACCTCAGCTAAGCCTACCCAATCCCTCCACCTAGCGAATCTCCCGAGAGCCTTCCTAACCCCCGGTCTCTGGACCCGCAACAGGATGTCCGCACTACTGCCTGATAAGGCTCACCTAATTCTTTTCAATTATTATCGCACAGGGATTTAGCGCAAGTGCTTGCATCAATTACTGTAACGTAGTGAATAGTATTTTAAGTCTGGATTGGCTTTTACACCGTGTCCCGCCTTGGCTGGGAACAGGCAAAGGCGTGAGCCACCCCCACAGACGTCCTCTCTTCGAGAAGCTCCAGGGGCACCTTCTTCTCTGAGCCCGCCTCTTCCTGTGGGCGGGGTTACCGGTCCGCGCGGCGGGCAATGAGTAACTGCGCAAGCGCAAGAGGGTGGTACTACGGCGGGTGTGACATGGGGGGGCGCGGAGGAGACGCCGGAAGTAGCGGTGGTACGGGTCGGAGTAGGGGGTATTCACCGCCCGCCGCGACTACCCGCGCGGCGGCAAGAGCAAAGGCCCGAGGGGGTGGGCGTGGTGGGCACCAGAAAACAAGCCCCTCGTTTCGTTCGCGCGGGGCGGCGCCTCGTCGCTCCTCTCCACCAGCTAAGATGAGCGAGCGCCTCCGCCCCAGGTGAGACAGAAGGGATCCTTTTCCTTCCTGGCCCCTCACCCAGAGGTCTGGGGGATCAGGCCGAGGGCGTGCGCAAAGATGGGCTCCGAGAAGCTTGCGTTCGGGGGCACTCCGTCTTGGCTGCTCTGCGGGCCGAGGCGGAGAGGAGAGGGATGCGACAGTGACGGGGTACCTGGCTCCTGTGGGTGGCCGGAGAAGTGACTTTCCGGCGTCCAGGCCTCCCCTCTTTCTGTCTTTTCTCTCTTTTCTTATTTGGAATGAGGTCTCTGATTCCAGAAGAGAGACCGTGGCCCTGAAGTGTCTCTGCCCTACATTTAGGCGGGTGGGGGGATGGGAGAAATGTCTGCTGTCGAGAGGGATCCCCTAAGGTTCTTGTGAGGGGGCTAGGCGGCAGCTGTTGGCACCCCGGAATCTGGAGGGAGGAGGGTTGGGTTTATTACTGCAGCTGGGAGGGATTAGGATAGGCCAAAAGACTGCCCTGGAAGATTGTGACTCAGAAGGGCAGATAACCAAGGTGGGTTGCGATCCTCTTTCGCACTTTAGCAGTAACAGGCAGGATTCTAAACAGTTTGGTAGCGAGCCGTTTGAGATAGGGTTACATGGCCTGCTGTGCTCATTACCACTTACCGAGCCTTGCCTCAGAGTCTGGGACTTCACTGAGGGCTTAATCCTAACCAATTTAAGAATTCTCCCCCTTGCATGTACCCTTTGCAAGAAGTGGAGAGGGAAAAGTTGGGATATGTTACCTCATAGTGAAAGGGGGGATCCATTTTATTTCAAGTTAGAACGATCTTTCATCGTGGACCACGAAATTACCTGTAGATCACCAAATTAAACTTGCTCAATTTTTTTTTTGATCAGAAAACACATTTAGAGAGATGAATTGATTTACCCAAGTCTTGTCGGTTTCGTTGCTTTCCTTTATTCCATACTAGTAGTTCCTGGCTTAAAATAGACCTTAGGATTGCCTTTCTTATTCCGTTTTACTGTGAATGTAATTGACAACTCTTTCTTTAGGATTCTTCTCAGAAGTTGTTTCAAAGGATTGAAGTTCTCAGAAGCATCTTGAAGTTATTTGGTCCTGTAGTGAAAATTAGGGTCCCCAAACTACATTGAATTATTTCTTGATGTGGGTCATGTAGCAAATAGGGCATAAAGGCTCTATTTGTATAGAAAAGAAGAGTGGACTAAATTTGAAATTATAAGGTGCCTGTGAAAATTATAACTTGGCCTATGGCATTAATGCCAAAAGTGTAATTAACTACTATAGGAGGAAGCATGGAGCAGTAATCTTGCAAATTATTAACAAGATTGTTGAAAGGCTCAAAGTAGGCCAAATTGAAATTATGGCCCAATTACAGACATGACAGCAGAATCTTAAGTATAGTAAGCCTGATGTGACTGTCATTTTTTTTCTTCTCAAATCCAACCTATACTTATGATAGTCTATGTTGTATCTGGTATTTGAAAGTCTTTAAGTATTTCTTAGAACAATTCGTTTTACAGGAAACCTGAATGTGTTTACCCTGATAGTAGATTCTTTTTATCTAGTACATGCGTAGGTAATTTCAACGTGTTTATACTGGTAGCTTTATGCTGAAAGAATTACTGGACAGGCTTTCCTCGTTTCACAGTGTGCTGGACCAGGTCTGCCAACTCTAATGATCTTGCTATCTCCAAGTTGGTTCATGTCTGAGTCTCTTTCTTCAATGTTAAAACGAAAGATTGATGTAAGATAGTTGTTTTTCAGATTGTTCCACAGATTGATGGCTATAGAGGATGGGTGTATAGTGAGGAGTTCATTCTTTTTTTTTTTTTTTTTTTTTTTTTTTAGTATTTTTTTTTTTTTTAACTTTTTTATCGGTACCGGGGATCGAACTCACGACTGCCTGCTTGCAAGGCAGGTGTTTATGCCGCTGAGCTAAATCCCCAGCCCCGAGGAGTTCATTCTTTATGATGGGTTTTTAATTTTTGTATGTGCTAATTTTTTAAAAGTGAGAAAAGAGGAGATAAGGGGAAAATAAGAAAGATCAAGATGTGATATGTAAATGAATTTTTTATAATTTAGCACAGACACATACTAATGAATGGGGGAGGGGTAAAAAGTTTAAAAACCAGTCTTCATGCTATAAGACTGCTTCTCTCCTTAGACTCTAGAAGACAACAGGAAAGTTGAAGAGATGAAATGGTAAAAGTGGTGGGGTTGGCCATCTTACGGAGTGACAGATGCCAATCAAGTATATCTATGTAGTTGACAAGTGGAAAATAATCAATTACAAGGTGCCTGCCAAAATTATAATCTAGTGATGACATTAATGTCAAAAGTATAATCTGACTGTACTGATGAGAGTTGAGCATGAAGCAGTAACCTGGCCAGTCATTAACTAAATTGTTCAAAGCAGAATGTTTCAAGGAGGTAATTTGCTAGGAATCTAGAAGGAGAATAAAGAATTGGTAGAGCTTATTCTTAATCTGTTACCATCCATAGGAGAGGGCCACTTGTGGGCCAAAGAGAGAATGCTGGTTCCTTGAGAAAGTAACTGGATATGAGCCAGGGACACTTTTTGTGACTTTCCCAGAGCTTAGCTGAAATCCACCAAATCAGGCCATCTTTGTTCCTACTGCTTTTTGCCATGCAGCCCCCTTGTCACCCTCTATTATAAATGAGGAAATGGCAAATTTTGGTCAGGCTTCTAAATTTGGTTAAAGTGACTCAGCAGCCCAAAGCATAATCAGCTGTTGGCATGCTGATAAAATTAGAGCTCAAAACCAAGAGCCTGCCATTTGATGAGTTTCTCTTTGTCAGCTGGCTGCCAGGAGGCATTACTTTGCTATAGCAGCACATTCCTGTGTGTAAATTATCTAATCCCATTCGTATGAGTGAGCCGGCTGTGGTGACACATGCCTGTAATCCCAGCCCTGAGGAGATTGAGGCAGGATGACTGTGTTCCAGGCCAGCCTGAACTATAAAGTGAGAGTCTGTCTTAAAAAAGAAAGAAAGAAAGACCATTAGAATGGATGTAGAAGGTTCTTGGTTTACATTTTAAACCGTGCATCCATTTAATGATTGTTAATGCTATACAGCTATTAATCTCCGTAAAAATGTACAAACTATCTAATCTCTGAGGAGGCAGAAATCCTGATCTTATTTTACAAATGACTTGAGTGTTAGAATTAGGTAATCCACTGCTGGTTGGTTAAAGCATCTCCAGAATGACACATTCACTTTTTATCATTCTAAACCTAAACTGGGGTCCATAGTCATTTGGTAAAGTTAGATATATTTTGACTTTGTAAAATGTAGAGAATTGCGCTTAGAGTGATAATTCAAAGTTTCTACAATATCCAGATTTCAATTTAAAACTTTACAAGTCAGGAACTATCATAGACCAACTATGGTAATCCACAACTATCGTCTTAGCACTCTGGACGCTAAGGATGTAGGATTATAAATTCAAGGCCAATCTGGACTACATAACAAAACAACAACAAAAATGTCTCTACACACATAGGTGGTTTGTGCTATATTGAGCCTGTACTCCAACTTTACTTTCCAAAAGCTGTTTCCCTCACTAGCCTTTTGTTTTATAACTATAGAACTTTGGAAAGAATTTTTTTTATATAGGGGATCAAACTTGTGACTTGCACGTGCCAATCAGGTGCTTATGCCACTGAGCTAAATCCTCAGCCCCATAACTATAAAACTTTGAAACTAACAGATGCAGTACTTTGATTTGTATGGATGGACCTCTAGCCAGTGATACCCGGTGGAACTTTCTGCAGTGAAGAGGGCTTTCGTGTTCCATGCTGTGCAGTGCAGGAGCTATTTGTGGCCCCGCTGCACTGGAAATGCAGTTATGACCTAGGAGCTGGATTTTTAATTTAATTTTAATGTACTTAACTTTAAATAACCATGTGATCAGTGGCTCTCATTACTAGACGTACAGTTCCAGGCAACTTCATTTTATCTAGTTTCTGTTTCCTAACTGGGTTTTTTGGAGACAGGAGGGTCTTCCGCTGTCTTGTTCAGTCTACGCTTGAACTTACTACATAGCCTAGGCTGGCTTGAATTTACAAAGATCCTCCTGCATCGGCCTTCTGAGTGCTAAGAGTATAGGCACGTACCATCATGCCTGGCTTTCCTAATAAGGTTTAGAAATTCTGTAGATACTTAGCTGGGTATGGTAGTATACATGCTTGTAAACCCAGCGCTCTGGGTGCTAAGGTAGAAGGATCACAGGAGACCTACCTGGGCTACATAGTGAGACCCTGTCTTAAAAAAAAGCTACAGATTAAAGACTACCACAAACCTTTGATGTTGTCATGTGGCAAAGAGCTTTAGCACAAATAGGCAAGGCAGTGACCCATCTCTTAGATGTCATACAAAAGGAGGTAAAAGTGAGGTCAGGTAATTTGGCATTGGAAAGAGAACCTTAACTGACTTAAAAGCTTAGGTGTTAATGTCTTGTTCTTTATTTCTTGTAGACATTTGAAGTTGTCAAGGTTTTCTTTAGAAATTAGTCTTACTAATTTAAGCTTGACCTTACTGCCACTGTCATATGTTTTTAGTCTTACTGCCCAGGGATGGTATAGTTACAGCTTTTACTCTAGCAGAGTTTCATAGTAAATTAATTTTTTTTCAGGCAAGAGGACAAATTTATATGTTGTCATGATTTATAATAGGAATCTAGGGAAGGGAGAGGAATGGGAAAAAAAGCTAGATACATTATTCAGATATGAATTCTCTATGATGAATGTGATCGTTATGTACACATAAAATGTACCAAAAAATAAAATAAGAGTTATCAAGGTGCCAGGGCCTGCCTGGCAAGTGCGAGGTCATGAGTTCCATCCCCGGTACCAAAAAAAAAAAAGTGATTGGGCACGGTGATACAAACCTGCAGTTGCGGCTCTCAGGAGGCTCAGTGAGAAGGATCACCACAAGTTCAAGGCCAGCCTGGACTACGTAGCAACACCATGTCTCAAAATATATGTACGAGTCTAAAGATCAATCGTTGGATGGTTTTTAGCTTTTGTGTTTTAATTTCAGGAAAAGGAGGAGGAACGGCAATGAGGAAGATAACCATCTCCCCCCGCAGAACAAACGGAGTAGTAGAAACCCTGTCTTCCAGGACTCCTGGGACACGGAGGTAAGAGATATACATGGTCCCACACTTGGTGGTTCCACTGCTCGAGCTGAATAACCTGCTTTCCACTGTGGGATTAAACATATTTATTCAAAAAATGAAAGTAATGTTACTTGATGCAATGATTCCAGCCCGTTTGTAAACTGAATTGTGGTCCTTTTAAGGACCCGTTTCCAGCAGAGCAGTATGTGCTTATGTATATTCTCACGCATACACTCTCCTTTGTAGAAGTTTCATGGACCTTGGAAGCCCATTTTTGAACCCCTATTTTAATGTTAGCAACCAACTTTTTTTTCATTAGTGGAAGTTGGCAGTGTATAATTACGCTCATCTTGGGGAATTGGTCCATGTCTGCTACCGTTTCTGGTTCTCTAAAAGAGTGCTGTACTGGGCAGAAAATGTCTGTGTAATTAGAAGGCTGCTCTATGGTGGGGAAAAGGAGCTAATGTTAAAGTGATGCTACTGTTACGCACCTAAAAATTTTGACCCTTGACCTTCGTCGCCATAGCGGAAAAATACCCAGGGAGAAAGATTCTTAAGCCACAGCCTCATTCATACCTGCAGCAGAATTCTTACACTGAAATCAACTGTGCTTCAGTTAGTTCCCAGTAATAGGATTTGATATATATCTCGTCTTATTTTTAAACCAGAAATCTCAAGTCATTTCCCTAAAGGGAGAAAGTCAGTTACTCTTATTTAGGTAACAAGAACAACCAATGCACAAGGCCTTCTATGTGGAGAAGTTTCTATAGCTGATTTGATTTGATTTGATTTTCTGTCTTTTTGAGAGAGTTTCACTATGCAGTTCAGGCTGGCCTTGAACTCACTTTGTATCTCAGGCTGGCCTTGATCACGGCAATCCTCCTGCCTCAGCCTCCTGAGTGCTGAGATTATAGGCATGTACCACCATGCCTGGCTTCCATACCTTTTGTTTAATGTGATAGGTAATTAGGGAATCTCAGAGAGGAAAGAAAATCAAAGACTGGAAGTTGCCATGAACATCTTATGGTAAAACTGTGTAACAGTAATGAAATTTCCATTACTCCTTTTTTTTTGGTCTTTTTTTTTTTTGTCTTTTTGAGACAGGGTCTCGCTATGCAGTTCAGGCTGGCCTTGAGCTCACTTTGTAGCCCAGGCTGGTCTCGAACTCACAACGATCTTCCCACCTCAGCCTCCCTAGTGCTGGGATTACAGGTGTGAGCCACCACGCCCAGCTTGATTTCCATTACTCTTCAGGGGGACTGTGCATTAGAAGAGTGTGCACTTGCTTTCGTGGTATCAACATCAGTGTTTCTTTCCTTGAATCTATGTAAATCCTGTATAATGTTCATATTGATTCAAAGGAGTAGTAGGCCTTTTTGTAGTAAGCTTTTTATCCTTCTGAGTGATGGTTGTCATGCCTGAGAAGGGGAATAGAAATTACCATCTTTCACATTTTTTAAATAAACACTTTTGTTTTCTTAAAGTAAGCCAAACATACCTTAGTTCTAGGTTTTTGTTTTAATTGTTGTATAGAAAAATGATCTTTACATAGTTTCTAAAATCTGTGCATTTGGCCTCACGGACCAAAACAGTCTTGTCATTCAACTTCTCAGGTCATTTTATTTTTTTCCTACTTACCCAAAGAAATTGAGCTGTTCTGCTTCTCTGTCATCGTTAGTCTGAACCGCAGACTAGATGACCTCCATTTTAATTTAAGCTTAATATGGTTGTCATTATCTAAACTCACTGGTAAGTCATTTAATGGGATGTTGTAATCAATAGCTTCTGCCTTGCTTCAAAGCAAATCATTTACTGGTGTTGTGCTGAGCTGTGCTCCCCAGTGGGCGTACTAGCAAGTAGTGGGGATGTCAGAACTGGAGAGCTGGAGAAGCAAAGGGAAAAGGGAGGGTTAACCCCGAAAGACTGGATTTTCTTTATTGGAATGTTTCTTTTTCTTGAGATACAGGGTGTGCAGAGGAATGGAACCTGGGGCCACTGCAAGTAGACAGGGGCTCTGTACAGTACACCTGTGCTGTGTCTCTAGCCCTAGAACAGAGTATGTTTGTAGACAAAAACATGTCAGAGGCCCTTGTTTCCTATCGGACACTTATAATCTAAAAGAGAAAATAAAAGGTTATTTATTTATATAGCAAAATGCTTTATTAACTAATGAAAATATTATGTTTTAATTCTAAGATAGAGTCAGCAGTATAAATTTTCTGTGAACTTTTTTGTAACTTGAACTTTCATTTTTGAAGAGAACTTATTTGAATTCTAAGAGAACTTTTTTGTCCTAAATTTAATATTATATATATTGGCAATTACTGGGAAGTAGGATATAAGGAGTTTGGTTTATGTTAAAGTATTAAATTAGGTTACAGGGAATTTGCAGTTACTTTTCGAAGTTGGAGATAGTTTGCACTTTTTCTTGGGCTGAAGAATGATTTCCCAGCTGTTGTGTACAGAGAAGCTTTAATTTATTGATGCAAATTATACCTTATATTAGTAAGAGCTATGCTCATTTTTTTTTTTTTTTTTTTTTTGAGATGGTCTACTGTGTAGTTCAGGCTGTGCTTGAACTGAAGGAGATCCTCCTGCCTCAGGTTCCTGAGTGCTGGGATGACAAGCATGGTCCATCATTGCCTGGCCCAGAGAAGCTTTAATTTATATTCTTTTTTTTTTTTTTTTTTAAATGTACTGGGGAGTAAACCCGGGGCCTCATGCATAAAAAGTAAACACTGTCACTGACAGAGCTGTATCCCCAACTCTTTTTAAATTTGATTTTTTTTTTTTTTTTTGTACTGGGAATGGAATTCAGGGCCTCTTGCTTGCCAGGCAAGTAATGTGCTGCTGAGCTATATGCCCCGAGCCCCTAATACTTGATTTTGAGACAGGGTCCTGCTGTGTTAACCAAGATGGCCTTAGTCAGGAATCCTCCTGAGCAGCTGGGAACACTGGCCTATAGCACCATGCTTGATTTCTTCTATTTTAGTAGGAAAAGAAATTGTTCTGCGTCTTAGATGGAAAAATCTGGGTGTAGTAAACAAAATCACTTGTCAAAAGATATACCAGCCATGGAAGAAAGCTGGGCCTGGAATGTGGCTGTTGAGTCACCTGCTGCTGGCTCTGGTATGCATTTTCTCATGGGAGAAAGAACACCTGTCCGGAAAGACTGCTAAATATACCCAGGAGCAGCTAGGTACAGCTAGATAGGAGCAGAAGAGTATTTCCCTTCACTTTAGCTGGGGAATATTTTTCCCATAGAATGAATGTATGGTATCAGCTTTTGAAAAGCTGTTTTAAATTGTTTTGGTGCTGTGGTTAGCTCTGAGACAGGGTCTCGCTGTGTATGTAGCTTAGGTTGGCCTTAAACTCATGGCAACCCTCTTACCCTCAGCCTCTTCAGCAGGGATTGTAGGTGTGCACCACCACACCTAGCAATTTTAAAATTATAGCAAGAAAAAGCAAATTGTTTTATCATACATTCCGATTGGTACTTCAAAACTTGAATTTTAAATCCAGTGATTTAAGTTCAATAATTTATTAGGGCACTTTTTTTTTGTTTTTTTCACACAGGGTCTTGCTATGTAGCCCAGACCGGTAGGCTCAAATTCATGGAGATCTCCTCTCAGCCTCCCAACTGCTGGGATTATAGGTGTGCACTACCACACCTGCTGAGAGCAATCTGTTTCCTTTTAATTGAGATATAATTTAGTAGTGCAGGATTTACCCTCTAACCCGAACCCACCACAAAGCTTTCTAGACTGTGATGTCAGTTAACGCCTACATTAGCTGTGTAAGATGAGAAGTGATTGATCCACTGGTGTCTTTCTTTTAGGTCCTATATGAAGGTAAAAGTATGTCTTCCCTTGGGCAGTTACTTGACTGGGTGGAAACTGGCGAGGTTTAACCTCCTTGTTATGTAGGGCTGGCTCTCCTTTTCCTGGAGCAGGAGCCATGCATGCTCTTTGTCTTCAGTGTTACACAGAGTTGCCCTGTGCATCTGGCTTGTGGTGCTTAGGGATGTGCCTTATGGAAAGTACTTCTGGGGGCTGGAGATTTAGCTCAGCGGCATAAGCGCCTGCCTTGCCTTGGTCGTGAGTTCAATCCCTGGTACCGCCAAAAAAAAAAAAAAAAAAAAAAAAAAGAAAGTACTTCTGCTGCAGTAAATAGAAGCAGTTCCTTTTTAAAATGGACCTGAAGTTTTCACCTTACCTTTAATGTAGCTTTCTGACACCTTTCTGATTTTTTTTCAGAGCACTGTGAAGTGACATGAACTAGAGTAAGGGTATAGAGATAAGGTGGAATAGGACAGCCTGTGCCTTTTTCTGTGCCTCTGGTAGAAAGGGAAATTCTGAATGTTATAATACAGTACTTAATCTAAAGAGTATTCTTAGTGTGTGTGGAGAGGCATGACCAGAAAAACAAACCACACACAAATATATGTGTATATATATATAAAACCAGGGACCCATGTGTTCTTAAAATTAGGATTCTGTCAATCCATTTGTTTTAACTGAGAAGACTTAATTAGAGGAATTTAGAGGACAGTGGACTGGCCTAATTTTTAAAAATGGTATTTCAAAGTCGAACATGGTGCCAGGAGGCAGGAGGATTGCTGGGTGTTCCAGGCCAGCTTGGGTGGCATAGTGAGTTCAAGGCCTATCTGCCTCTTCCAAAAGATATTTTAAGATTCTTAAATTTTGTCTATTCTCATTTTTAATCCATGTTAGTATAGTAGGTATAACCTAAGGGATAGAAGTATTCTGGCCAAATTTCTTTTAGGAGCAACTAGGGCTTTGTGTGTGTGTGTGTGTGTGTGTGTGTGTGTGTGTGTGTGTGTGTTGCTGGAAATTGAACCTAAAGCCTTGTACCTGCGAGTCAAGTGCTGTGGCACTAAGCCCCATCCCTAAGCACCCTTTAAAGATTTTGTTTTGAAACAGTGTTTATTGAGTTGCCCAGGCTGTCTTCAAATGTGGGAACTTCCTCCCAAGTAGCTCCCAGGGTTAATATCTGAAATG